CTGAGTCTTGAGACGTAGAGATGGAAGCCGACGTCGAGGGGCTTGTCGACGATGAGGCTCGGACTGATTGCGACTTTGGTGGTTGTCCGTTTAGTCTTGACAGGCAGAGCTTTTTCCAATGACCGGGTTTACCACAGTGTTGGCATTTGGTGTCCTCGTGTGCGCCGTCCGCCTTGTGACCTTTGGAACCGCAGACGCGGCAGCGACCGACCATGAGCTTGTTGTATTGCCTTTTGATCTCCGCAGGGTCTTTGAGGCCTTGGAACAGGTCGTCGAAGCGTGCGGCGGAGATGTCCATGGCGTCGATGTCCATTGCGTTCGGGTCGCGGAAACCGGAGGAGCGCGTCGTTGTCGTCGACCGGGGCTGCGAGACTGGTTTGCCTTGATTGGCTGCCAAGTCTGCTTTTTGCAAGTCGATTGTTGCTCCGTAATTTTTTACCATGTTGTAGTCAGTGGCCAGAGGGGCAAAGTAGGACAGCCTATTGAGGTAATCCGAATTCATCCCGGACTTGAGACGATCGTAGAGGTCGTTATTTGACCAGCCGGTACGACGAGAGTAAGTCTCGAAGTCGGAGAGATAGTCCGCGAATGTCCGATCGCCTTGTTTGATCGACATAAGCTTCTGCTTGGCCTCGTTCTTCGCGTCGACGGGTTCGAATTTAGCCGAGAACTGTTTGACGAACTCATCCCAATTGGCGTTGAATGGAGTACGACCGTCTGAGAGTTCGTCGATGTGAGGGCGCGCCCAGACCGCTGCTTCGTCCGTCATGAAGGATAGGATACCGGTGATCATTTTGAGTGGGTCCATTATCCAGTTGCCGGCATGGTCTAGGATGATGGCGTCCTGAGCGTTTCGCGAGGCGAATATCTCTTTATTCCCTCGGACGTATACGCGAAAGGCGCTGCGGAACAATCTGGCTTTTTCAGACGACTTGCCGTCGAAGGTAGCTGGTTTCTCGACGAAGGACCGGGACCTGGTGGAAGAGACCGTGGTGACAGGCTGTCGTGCATGCGCTACGAACTGGTTCACCGTTGTCGTGAGATTATTGACATTTTGGACCAGTGTGACCATGAGGTTTAGTACGTCCTGCATGGTGGGTTGCGGTGCCGGGGGTGGAACGTCCATTGCTTCGGTGGGTTCTTCTAGGTGGTATCGCTCACGAATCCGTGCTTCCTGTTCGCTATTGATGAATAGGTAGGGTGGGTTTTCAGAGAGGACCGGTTGTGTCTGATGCTCGTAGTAGCGGTTTGGACAGAGATAGTTTGTGCAAGTGTTTAACTGTCTTCTTTCGTCCAAGTAGTAGTCACGAGCTTCTTCGAAGTTGAAGACGTGAGCGAAGGCCGCGCAAGCTAAGCGAGTGTCTGCCACTGTTTCTGATTCGTCCGATAGGACGGAAAACGGATTTATAGAAAGTGGAAAGGGAGTTCTAGGAATAATTGTACTAGTTCTAACTCGACGAGATGGTCGAGTGCGTAATCTAGTATGTACGGATCGAGGATTCGCTCCTCGTCGTAGTCTATGTATTCGAAAACTATATACTCGTCCAGCTTTCTAATCGAAGTATCCGTTAATCCAAACCGCACGAAGTGCTTTAAAAATCTGGACTCGGTTACGCCGCAGTCCTTTGAACGAGATTCCGCCGATCTGCTTTAGTCCGGAGTCCCAACGGTTCCACTCCTCGATGCTGATGACGCGTGAAACGTCCTTGAGGGTGCGGTCGAGGTGGGCGAGGCGGTCGCGAAGCTTGAAGACGGCGTTGATGTCGTCGGTCAAAACGTCGGGGCAGTCGAGCGACTCGAGCACGTTGAAGCGCTTGAGGGTGGCGGCGAATTTCGGTGCGAAGATGCGGGCGAGGTCGGCGGCCGTGTAGCGGGAGAAGTCGATGGTGACGGGCTTCGGGGCGATGGGAGTGTAGGTCGGAGCGGCGGTGAGGCGATCTGCTAGAGAGCGGCTGGAAGAGGCGCTGGCGTGCGCGTTTTGTCTAGCGCGGGCTTGGTCGCGTTGCGCTTGGAAGTGCTGGCGGTCGTCGTGAGCCGCGAGTTTGGCCTGTTCGACTGCGTCCCAGTCGATGGTAGGGAGAGCGGTGGACGGAGGCGGGAGTGTAGAGACGTGCCTGACGACGGCGCGGAGCTCGGAGGTGGTATACTGGTGGGGGGCGCCTGCTTCGCGTTCTCGACTAAGTTGGTCGAATACGGCTTCGGGCAGCGCGCGTCGGAGGCGTGGGTGACGCTCGTCCGCGAGGCGTTTGAAAGCGCGAGGGCGGTCGGGCAAATCCTTCGGCACTGGTTTTATGCAGGGATTAGCGCTACGCGCGTACGTCTGCCACCAATCGCCGAAGAGACTTACTCTTCAAACGGTAGGAATAAACTTTTTTAAAACTGTGCACGGGGCACTGGATAGGGGGAATAGTCCGGGTGCACGAAGATCTCAACCTAATGATGTGGACTAGCGTCAACACACCACAAGGGATACTAAGTGGATCTAAACAGAAGGCGGCGCCGACGAGGTCTGGCGACTAGTGTGTTAGCTATCAGC